AACAGAGCTTCTCGGATATCTGCGGCGGCCGCCTGGCCCTGCAGCGCCGCTACTACTCCCCGTCCTGCCGGGAGTTCTGCCTCAGCTGCCCTCGGATCTCCCTGCGCTCGCTCACCGCTGTCACCTGCACCGTGTGGCTGGCGGCCTACGGACTCTTCACCCTCTGCGAGGTAAGACCAGTCCTCCCCTTCCCTCGGTCGGGGTCGGGGGCTCGGGTTTAGAAGGGTCATTAGGGTCTTAGCGTCGAACCCAGACCTTTCGCCAGACTTGCCTACAATCCTAGGGCGTGGAGGGCGGAAACTCGCTGGTTCTGGGGGCGCCGTCCCGCTTCTAGACAGCTCTTTTCCTTACGTTTAGTGAAGTTTGTGCTCCTGTATTTTATCCCTCTCGTAGATCGCTGCTCTGCTCCGTGGTTCCATCCAGCGTGTATCTAGTCCTTGTACGACAGCCTAAAACTTTAACTTCCATGTGCTCCATGTGGTACATACTCATGTAGTTCAGTTTCAAGAATCTAGAGAACTAAGTGGGCCGTCCTCATCCATCACTCCCACTCCTCGGAGGAGTCACTGCTAACAGCACCTTATACAGCCTTCTAGAAACTCTTTGCCTCCACAGTTCACACACGCAAATGTGATAGTTCTTCCTAATCTTTTTCAAGACAGTCTAACCCCCGCCTTCTCAAAGTCCCTTCCCCGCCTTTAAGTGTTTTCTAAAGAATTGTGAAATTTTGGAGATGGGTGGTTTTTGTGCTGTTTCCAGGCGCATTCCTATTTTCTGAGCCTCAGTTTTCACATCTCTAAAGTGGAATTTGTGTCTGCCATGCCAACTTTGCAATATTGTGAGAGTCACATGCAGTAGCTTTGTGACAGCCCTCAAATATAAGGAATCATCCTAATTGCCCTTTTCAGGATGAATTTAGTTTCATATGCAGTGCCCTGAATTGAATACATTATTCCAGGAGTGATCTGGGCAGAGCTAAGTACAGCAGGGCTATTTACTTCGTATAATTTGGGTATTGTTCCCAATACTGCATCCATTAGCTTTTTTGCCATCAGAGTATATTTCACAGCGTGGTAATTTAGTATAAGTATATGCAAAATTAAGACAGCCTTAATTGTACCAAATTATGTCTAAAAGTTTGTTCATAAATCAATTGAATTGGTTAACTTGCCAGGACAGTCCTTCCCACTCCACCAAAAAAGATGTAATATATAATACAGTTGAATTTCAATATTAGCCTGAACTCTGGCCATGTAGTCATTTGAGGCGGAGGGAATATATATCCGTTATTAAATGCCCACTGAGTGCCAGCTGCTTTACTGATTGCCTCATTTCAGCCTTAGAGGGAAACCAAGACTCAGAAAGAGTAATAACTTATCCAGAGTGATGAAGCTTGTAAACGGCATACCTGGGCTTCAAATCCCAGGTTTGACTCTGAAACCATTTCTTTTTCACTACTATACTATAATGTCTTCTTGGGGAGGGCTGCTGAGGCAGTTTTTAAATAGGAGGAGTCTGTTTTTACGCCAGCTCCCTTTCGTACTCCTCTGTCTTATCCTGGTATATCCCGCTCCCCCATCAAATGCCCAGGGCTCAGAGACCTCGTCTTCCTTTAAACTCCACTGCAACACTTCTTAAGGGCTCTGTGTACCAAAACTTCTTTTGGGGGGGATGAGGGGGTTTAATTAGGTTTATTTATTTACTTAATGAAGGTGCTGGGGATTGAACCCAGGGCCTTGAGCATGCACTGAACTAAATCACCCCCCTACCAAATTTCTTATCTTTCTTCCTATTCAAAACTATTAATCAGAGTAATGGATCTCAGCCAGGATAAGAAGAAATCTGATGAAGGAATTCATTAAAACATGTGGCTTAACTTCTACCCAAGTGAATATTGAATTGTTAGAATTTCAGCAGGAAAAATGAAGCGTAAAAAATGCAGGTAATGAAGTTTTGGGTGGGGATTACTTTACTAAAAAGCTGATATGGGTTAAATCCCCTAAGTATATAAGTATATATTGTTCTTCATCCCTTTTTTCCTGCCAGTTTTTGAATTCACAGTTCTATTAGAATTCTAGGGGTTTTTTTCCCCTTCCTTATTCCAACCTGGAATGTTCTTCCCCCCTTCCTTTTCACAGCTAAATATATCTTGTAATAACCACCACCTCCTGTGCACCAATTAAATCCTGCTTCCTTTTAAGTCTTCATGGGATATTCCTGTGTGCTTTAATCTATCTCTTGCTTTCTCTATCTCTTTTAATGCTTTTTTAGTCAATTCTGGTCAGTATCATAGTGTTCTCCAAAAATACTTTATGTCTATTAATCTTGCCTCTAATAAATCTGTAAGGGCCAGTACTGAGTTTCAGCTCTCTCCACTCTTCCATAATGCTTATTCAGTTCACACTATGTACAAGACACTATACTAGATACTAGACATTTAATTAACTCAAAAGTAGATATTTCTGAATCATCAGAGACCCAGTGCATAGATTTCTCCATCCTCCATTTGTTAATCAACAATTACCTAGCACAGAGGTCAGGAAACTTTTTCTTTGAAAGGCCAAATAGTAAATATTTTAGGCTTTACAGTTCTCTGCCTCATATTCTTCTGTTTCTTTTTCCTTCTTTTTTCTCCTTAACAACCCTTGAAAGAAATTGATACAACATTGTAAACTGACTATACTTCAATAAAAAAATATTTTTAAGAAAACCCCAACCCTTTAAAAAATGTAAAAACCATTCTTAACTCAAGGTGGATCAGACAGAAATGGATCACAGGTCCAAATAGTTTGCAGACCCCTGATCTAACACTTAACTATGTGTTACATAGAAAGAAGTAGAAAGGTACTTTCAAGGAAAACCAGAGCTGGTCAGTAGAGTGCTAAGAACAGATTTTGTTCAGAAACTTTTGCAGTGGGAGAAGAGAAACCTCAGTATCGAATTAGGCTCAATTCTGAATATAGCAGGGACCAGTGGGAATTTAAAGCCAGGAATTAGTGTGTGTTTGTGTGGGTAGGGTGCAGTCAGTGGATGGAAAATTACTAAAGGGAAACATCAGGAGTAAAGAGGGATTCTGGGTAAGCTGATTTGACAGATTTCTTGCTGAAGGCACGCCAGGATGATCAGATTAAAGGGTGAGGGTCCTCTCTAAACTCATTTAGCAAGATCCTTGCTACAGCTTGTTGGACAATGCAGGCCCAATGAGGATGGACAGCAAGGTCCAGCGCTTAGAAGACTTTGACTAGAGTTAGGCCAAAGAGGGTGTCTTGTCAATAACAGAGATTAATAAAACACTTCCTGCCCTCAAGGAATGACAGTCAAAAATTACTGAATTTCTTTTGATTCTAGGTCATCAATGATTTGTTTTGTGTGTGCCATCCTTCTAAATAATAGCTTTTGGGGGGGAAAAAAAGAGAAAACATGCCAGAAAATGAAAGAAACATATCTCAATAGAAAAACACATTTCAGCTTTAGAAACGTTAAAAGGTTGTAAACTTGAATCAAACAAATAAATACCATTTGGAGGCCCTTAACTGATTAGTTAGTCATTTCAGCTAGTCAGTCAGCCTTAACACATCAGTCATTCACAACCCAAAACAACTAAAAGAGCCCTAAATGGAAAGATCTCTATTATTTAACAAAACAAGAAGTGAGGATAAAGGAGAGCTCTAGAGTGTGTAAGAGGCTCGGTTGATTTTGGCTTTTTCATCTTACTGCTCTTCCATCCTTGGTGGACTGTACTTGTCCTCAGCCTAGCTCTCCACCTGGCTTGGCGGAGGCCTTATAGTTCCGGGCATCAAAACCTCAGCATGAAGGGATCTTCTCTTCCTAAGATCTCTTTTTAAGATGATCTTCATTTTCCAGAAACCCCTCTAGAAGGCTTTCCCTCACATCTCATTGGCTAGAGTTGTGTCATGTGTCCATTTCTAAACCAGTCATTGGCAGGAGTGGGAACCAGTCATGATCCACTCCAACTTCTATAAGGAAGGAGGAGTGGCTGTTGAGTGTTACCTGCCACACTATGCTAAGCATTTTCTTACTATTCAGTCTGTGACTTTCCTATGTATTTTATTGATGGAGTCTGAGAAAAGGTCTGAGTCCTTAAGTTGCCGTTTTGGAAGGGAAAATCTAAGAATGGTGTGATGGTGGAGATTTTGCTGATGGAGGTTCTCCTCCCTAGACCTATCCATTTGTTGTCTGGATGTATTTCATCACTTGCTTTCATAGCACTGCAGAGCCCAAATAAAAGTAATTTCCTCTTCCTCCATGTATGTTCCTCCCATCTGTTCAACTCACAGCCGAATGAAGGCTTTGGAAAAAAGCCTACAGTTGACTTATTAAATGGCAGAGATATATGAGGAGGACCACTTAGTAATCTTACTGCCTGTATCTGGCTCTCTCTTCAGAACAGCATGGTCCTCTCTGCTGCCATCTTCATCACCCTCTTAGGCCTGCTTGGTTACCTCCATTTTGTGAAGATTGATCAGGAGACTCTGTTAATCATTGATTCCCTTGGCATCCAGATGACCTCATCCTATGCGTCAGGCAAAGAAAGCACCACTTTCATTGAGATGGGCAAGGTGAAGGATGTTGTCATTAATGAGGCTATTTACATGGTAAGTGTTTAAGTGGTAAAGGTAGGGCATGGGGTATGCCTGGATCTAAACTGAGTCTTAATACCTAAGGTAACTGATGCCACAGAATTAAACTTAAGGACTCTCTGTTCTAGTACTTACAGTGTTTTCTTTTTGGCTGGCATGTCTATAAACCATAAAAAGTGAAAGTTGCATTAAAAACACAGGTCTTTTATTTTTAAAGAGACACAGCAGTTTTTCATGGATAGGGTTGTCATTTTGTCTTTTTTCAATTAAAGAATGAGAATATACCTCTCCCTCATTTCAAAACTATCAAGTGTTATCTCATTTATGAAAAAGTGTTGAGCCTTCCTTCCCTTGAAGAAAAAGGAAACTGAATTTCACTTAGATCTCTGTTTGGTTTACTTTCTCACAGCAGAAGGTGATTTACTACCTCTGCATTTTACTGAAGGATCCAGTGGAGCCACATGGAGTATCCCAAGTAGTGCCTCTCTTCCAGGTGAGCACAGAATACTTTTCTTAAGTTCCTTCCCCAAAGAAAACCTCCACCTTTCCCCTCCTCTCTGCACATCCACTGCTCCTTATGTTCAGTGGGAATAAAACTTCTGTTGTCAGGAGTATTTGAGGATACTTGAGGGCTATTTTTAGTGAGAGTCTAGTTATTTCAGAAGTTCCCTTCTGAGGCAAATAAGGCTTTCAGAAATATTATGAATTTATGCAAATTTTAGGAAGAAAAATAAACATATGGCAACTACTACTTATACACCGTCATTCATCGACTTTGATTCTGTCAGTTTACCAATGTGGGACTTTACATAGATGTTATTGATTTACACATACTGTTACGCACTATTTTGTGTCTTGCTTTCTAAATTTGCATATTTTCATGCATCTGCAAAGGCCATTATACTTATTATTTTAAATAATTATGTCATCATGTCGAATATCAGTTTATTCAGCCACTCTTGCTGGCTTTTAAAATCATGTCCAGGTTATTTTTTGGTTTGCTCTTACAAAGAAAAAAAACACTTATACAAAAAGATCATAATAAATTATTTTATAGGCATATGAAGTATTTATGCAGTTAACCTTGCCTCACTACCCTTTTTCACAAAGGATTTAAGGCAGCTAAGCTAAAACCCTTTTGCATTCTAGTTTAAAATTATTTTATTAAAGCTTATGGATAGTTTCATAGATTTTAACGGTGTTTGAGATTCGGCTCCAGAGATTGGGCAACTTTACCATACTTCTGGGAATTTGTACTTGCTTTTCTATAGTCTTGGCTAACAGTGGGTTTAGCTAGTTTTTAGCTCAGTATGTAGGTAAAGGAGTTTAGAGTTATTATATTTCTGTATCTTTTTAAATGACAGAGACTTCTCATATTTCCTTGTATTACCTATCAGGATTTTCTCTTGTTTTTAACTGTCTATCTCCTCTACTAGTCAAGTAGAATCTAGATACTTATTCCTCTTGCCTGCTCTTAGGTGGAGGTCATGAAACTTAGACAGATTAAAAACGGTCTTTTGAGCTCCTGCTTCCCCCAGTTCACAGCCAGGCTGTGGGCCTGGTGAGAGACTCCTCCCAGCATGATGCTGCGAGGCCTGAACTTCTGCCTCCCTGCATTGAGACCCCCTGGATGTGGGTGGGAGTTGAGGCTGCACATGGGTGCAGCACCACTAAGCACTGTCTTACGTTCACCTTGACTCTGCACTTCTCTTTGGAATTCAGAGTGCCAAGCCCCGGCTGGACTGCTTGATTGAAGTGTACAAGAGCTGCCAGGAGATCCTGGCACACCAGAAAGCGCCCTCCACAAGCCTGTGAGTCCCAGCACCCAGAAGACCAGTGTTGTCTTCCAGGGGAGGTGACTGCGAAGCCACGTGGCTGGTTTGTCTTCTGTGTTCTAACCCATCAAGTGGACACAGTCCGAGGAACCAGTATGGATGCAGCAGTGGATCTCCGAGTCATGGAGCAGGTGACTGGAAACCTAACTTACTGTGTGATGTTGAGCAAAGTACTTACGTGTACTTTAGTGTTCCCCTTGTAGGGTTTTGTTTACTTTGCCAGCTGAGGGGAGACCTTGAAACAGTACGTCAGAAGTAATGTTGACAAAGAGCACCGTGTGAAATCCCTAAGCACATTCGGGTTTACTTTTTGTTGAAATTTGTGGAGCAAGACAATGGGAAACTGACATCAGATCTCATGAGAACGATAATTTCCAACTGCACAGCACCCCTGTGTAAAAGTTAAGGGAAAAAAGCAAGCCCTTCAGGTACTGGTTAGTAGGAAGAAAGGAGTAGTCTCTGTCCACCTTGCTCCTGTGTTCTGTACAGGGTTAATTTATGATGATTCTCTTAACAGACAGATCTCCTTCTAAAACATACACAATAATTTCTTGGTTCAGACAGCTGCTTTTTATTGACAAACATGATCATGGCATTTCAGTCATGGGTGTCAAGCACATTAATAAATACTCTTGTTAACTCAGCATTGTCTATGGTTTCAGAAACTTCTTTTGCCAAGAGGGATGAGATGAAAGGCCAGACAGAAATTTGACTTTGGTTTCCAGATACATTACAGAGGAATAAACATGCATAGTATAGAAGCCTTTGCTTATAAGGCAGTTTCTTCTGTGTAAAGTTAATAAACTAAGGAAGGATTCCTGGAGGGTTGGGAAGAAGATAGGGTGCAGGAAATAGCTTGACCCCCAAATTCAATACGAACATAGCTCTGTTCTTGCTTACATTTTCTTTGGGGTCTTTTTTTTTTTTTTAAACTCCCAGGTAGGGGATAAATCCTTATTTGCCTTAGAGACACCCAAGATATTATAAAGCCAAAGCTGTAATTTCTGCATTTTACACCAGCCCTGGAGGGTTTATTCTGGAGCCTGTGGGACACGTGACGTGTGACTTGTTCGAGGTAGAAATGTCTCAGCTACATCCCAAATCCTGAGAGAAAGGCAGGAACAGAAATGGGAGACAGCTGTAAAATTGCCAGCCTGGCAAAATCAAGTTCATTTAGAAGAGGGAGACACTCTGATGTGCTTTTTTTTAAAATCATGCTTGTCAGTTTAAAGGGTGAGAGGGGAAGCTTACAGTAGCTGAGATGTTCAGAAAAACTAATTCCAGCGTCGCAGTTTTTGCAGTGTGCAACATACACACACTTTGTTGGGGTTAAAGGCTTGGTGCCTGAATGCTCCTGCCAAACCCATACAGTTGGCTCAGCGCTTTCTTGACAAATGGTAAGACTGCCTTAGAGCTATGAAATAAAAACTCAGTTTCTCCAATGTTGTAAAAATCAGAGTACGAATGAACTCTTTCGTCTTTTTTTTCCTGTTGAGGGGAGTGGAGACAGAGATCATCTCTGCCCTCAACAGAAGGTCTTACTTGGTTTTGGAGGATATTGGTATCATCAGGAAGGCAAAAGGTAAAAGAAAGTTTCCATTTCTTTCACCTGATGCTCTTAAGCTAGGACAGAAATCACATGTGTGCTTGGCCCTCAAAATAATTCCCAGCGCAAGTTTGCCAGAAGTCTTGAGCAAATCGAGACCCACAGGAGGGGTCTTCTGTTTCTGACTCATCTTTGGTGGCCTCACAGAGCAGCAAAAAGCAGAGTGCATTTGCTTGGTCTTTAAAGAAACGGAAGCAAGTGACAACCACCTTGTCCCACAGTAGTAAGCACAGCCTTCACTGAGCCCTGTCCAGTCATTAAAATGAGACAGGGGTCAGGCTGGACCTACCCCCTGCCCTTATACTCAGTTGGAGTAACAGTCCAGTGTGAGAACAGCTTAGTCTCAGCAGGAGACGGCGCCTTGTCCTGCAAAGACAAGTGCTGCCCCCAGAGGGCGCCGCCGATGCCTGCTCATGTGCAGCAGGGGACGGGCAAAGGAAGTCTATTGCTTTTCCTCCAGCCCTACCAAAAGCAGCTTTCCCACGTGGGAAAGGAAGTCCAGTTTTAGTGAGTTCTTGGCTTTTGTCAGAGTTCAGGTGAATTGGAAATTTTAGTTCTCTCCTGTTCAGGGATGTTGGGAAAACTTCAAGTATAAATCCCCACATAAGTACCATATACAATATAAAAAATATTAGTCTCCCTGAGAGGATCAGTGCAGAAAACGCTGACTTACAGCACTGATGCCCTCAGTAACCAGTAACAGTGGGCCGTCCCTGTCTGTGTGGAGAATCAGGCAGCATCCAGAGCTCAGTATTCTTGTGAAAAAAAGAGTGGTCTGGATCATTAAAGGTTGGCCCTGAAGCACTGTAAGGCACCGAGACAGTAAAGGCTTCATGGACACTGAAACACACATTTCACAGAGCAAACTGGGGCGGGTTAGGGGAGGGCTGTTAGACCCATCACAGTAGTATCATACCCCCGGATACATCTCTCTCATCTCAGAGGCACTAGGTGGTGGTGAGGAAGGGGTAGGAGAAATATTCACAGCAACGTTGGCCCCTTGGCAGCACATGGAGCAGAAGTGAAGAACTGTCGTCCATCCAGTTCCCATGGCTGGCAGGCAGCGGGCGGGTGGGTGGGTGCGCTCACCGCTGTGGAGCAGTGGTTCATGTAGCTGGCCATGATAAAGGTCACATCTGCAATCTAAGCGACAACAGAGAAAGGAACTGAACTGGCCCTGGCTTGACTCCTAGCTTTCTCACTCACGAGCTGTTGCGCTGGGTATACAACCTTCTTGGGCTTTAGCTCATCTCTTAAAATACCCCCCCAGGAGAGAACGTCCTAAGGGGATCATTAGTGTGAGGTTTGAACACCTAGTCAAATGGGCATCTGGAGGTCCTGAGATGCACAGGACCTCCTGAGAACAGGAGGACCAACATTCCGATCTGATCGTCTCCAAGCCAGGGCAGGGGGCCTCCCCGGAAGAAGGGATCTGTACACCTGCTCCCTTGGCACAGATGGTACTGAAAGAAGGGGGAGGTTTGCCAAACTCCAACTTTAGGATTAAAACAACAGGGTTTCCAGTTACTTAGAATGAAGTCAAAAACTATACATGAGAACTTCAGTTTCAGAGTCTCTGGAATTGTTATCTTTGCCAGTCAACTCTTCCTGTGCTGAGTAGGAACAAGGCCCTGAAGGCAAAACAGGTCTTTGGACCATCTTCAAGACCACAGGGAAGGAGGGGCATGTGCAGACTGTCCCATTCTGTGACTGGTGTTGGGACAGCAGCACCCAAGGTAAGGTGAGAGCACCCCGAGGAGGAAACTGCCCTGGCCCTGGACCGGCTGCAAAGAAGAGAGGAGCAAGTGGGCGCCCGACTCAAGCCTGCGCGGTGCTGCAGCTGGCCGAACGGAAGAAGACAACAGGAAGGGTGTGGGAGGAGCCAGACCAGAGAGAGTCCCCTCCCCAGCCAGCCCCTCCACCGGCCAGCTCAGCAGTGCTGGCTGAGCTGCCACCCACCGGAGCCCTCTGGAGTACTAGTGATAGACAAGGCCAGAAGTTTCATTTGGGGCAGGGCCTTTCTCAAGCACTGTTACAGCCCTAGTTTCCTGTCTAAGCTCCAAGCCCACCTCATCATACCCCATCAGAGCAGAATGTGTTAGCAGCTCTCAGACCCACCTTGGGAGCAGCCATCCGGAAGATCAACTTCTCAGTGTGTCCTTTTCCAGAGCTCTGGTCCGGAGTGGATCTAATCACAAGCATGAAGTCATCCCGGCAGCCACCAAAGGTCATCACCGAAGAGTAGGGATAAGTGATGTGCACTTGCTGCAGGAAAAGAGCCAGTTCTGGGGAAACTTTCCACCTGCCTCCTGAGCTAGGAGCCAGCATCTCTGGTCTCTTCGAGACCACGAAGTGAGGACTCTGAAGTGGTCACACTTTGCAGATCTACATCTTGAATGTGTACAAGGTGTGTCTGGTCTAGAGGATGGCAGCACTGGGGCAGAGGGTGGGGATAGGGGACCACGGTTACGTAGCTCAGGCCTCTTGAGTCCAGACAGGAGAAGAAAAGATACTGTTCAGGAGAAGGAGGGGTCAGGGAGCAAGCCCTCATCCTTCCGTACCATAGTGTTGTGGTCCAGGATGCTGACACCGTCCTCGTTCACAGCAATCCACACCAGACCGTTCTCCTTGGAAGACAGCTGTGCAGGCTGGGGAAACAGGAAAATCCAATCAGACGTAGCCACAGCTAGGAATTCTGACCAACTAGAGCTTTCTGAGGAAGAAGGCACATCCAGTGATCTGCTAGGCAGTGATTTCTAACTTTTTTCTCTTTTTGGAAAACACAGAAGATGGCATTTGTATAGCATGCCAGAGTACACAGGCTGCTCGTGGCAGGCGGCAGCTGGCTTGGGGCTCTGGCCACTTTCTAACTACCCCCAGGAGGGAGAGTATCACTTTCTTGCAGTACCTGTAGCCCATCCTGCCACAGTACAGAACACAGTACACTTTGTTCCTGCTGCAGAACAAAGGCCGGTCCTGGCTGCTCTGTCCTGGGCAAGGAGAACAGGCTGTTTTCTCCTGGCTCTCAGAAACTGACAGCATTCCACCCACAGGCTCTCCTGCTGAAGCGCATCTTGCTTCAACCAGTTTCCTAGGGACTGTGAAAAAGTTAGGAAGACAATGCAATCTCAAGGGCTAGTAGGGAGAAAGGTGACTATTTGGTGGACAATTCCTAGAATGACTAATTTTCACAGCTACATCTCTCCTACCTACCCAAAAGGCTGGGGACAGAGGTGGACACGTCATTTTCTTCAGGGGCTTTTCCCAACCTCCCAGACCAAGTGTGTCCCTATGTTATATGCTTGTATAACACCCCTGTACTTTTCTTTCATGGCACTTGTGACAGCTTGTAAAGTATATATATCTATTTACAGAGAGAATGTGTGATTAATTGATTAATATGTATCTCCCCCACTGGAAGGGAAGTTCCATGGAGGCAAAGGTCACGTCTGATTTGCTCACCTCTTGTAACCTCAGACAACTAGCACGTTGCCTGAGACATAGCAGGCGCTCGACAGTTCTTTGTTGAATGAATGAGTGAATGTCTGTTGTCTCATCTATGCCCTCAGTGAACTCGGTCATTCTCCAGCTTTGAGGACAGGGTCCTCTCCGTGATTATGTAGAGTTCATGCACACCAGATACCCGGTGAAGAAAAGTCCCAACTGAAATTACTACTGGCCACTTGGCTTTCACGCAGGAGAAATTAGCTGTTGCCTGAGGAGTTAGATTCCCCTGTGGCTGTGCTAGGTCAGTAGAGATGTATTTAGGTTTCATGTTGTTCTATCGTTCAAACGTCTTTTAAAATAAAAGCATTCTTAAGAGCGATACATATCAAGTCTGAGCCCTGTATGTGAATTAGTTGATCCTATCTTTTTTTTTCATGGGTAGGATTGGGAAAGAAATCAATAAAGGAAAGTTGGGGGTCATCCAGAAATAATGCTGGCCCAAAAGCAATGAATCACAGCTGCTCTGGAGCATAGAAATCTGGAGTAGGCAAGAAATGGGTGGAGAGATAGCGACCCCTGGTGGTTGCTAC